TAAAGTAATTTAAATTTTAATGATTTTTTTAAAAATCATGTTTCTGGCAATCATAGGCTAAAGTAAAGGGTACAGATGTGTTTTAATAAAACAGAAGAGAAAGAAAATTTACAAAAATCTGAACAAAATAACTATCTCGCCATAATGAGATAGCTTCTTTAACCCCACTGCCCCCATTCCCAGAATGTGGTAAGCAAGCAGGGAGTAGAGTAAGACAATTATGATGTCTAAGTTTCAAAATTCTGGCTAACCTACTTCTCAGGCCTATTGCTAATTTGCAGAAATAAAAATGGTAATATTGTATCAATGGTTCCTGGACAAAAAGCAGAATAAGAGTATAAGATAAAGTTTAAAAAAGTAAAACTTCTTTAAATAACCTGTCACAAATCATTGTCTTTGGAGTAAACAGAACAGAAACAAGATCCGCATGTTGGACTCCAAATAGGAAAAAAATAAATACTAAATTGGGATTGTATCAAAACAGGAAGGGGATGGTTAGACTGTGAGTCCTTTAATTTTCAAGACCTAACAAAACTATAAAAGAGTTTGCATGCCCTCTGAAGATCACAGAAAACTTTTATTTCTTTATGGACTAGGAAAATTGATATTTCAAAATCTCTGATCTTGGAATTACAGGTGAAGTTATAGCATAGTTTCTGACCATAATTTAGAGAACTGAGTCATGGGTACATGAGTCACAGTTTTGACAGATTAACAATTGGATTAGATGAACAAACTCTCACAAGGACTAAGGGACATTTTCAATAGTGGCTTTGTGTATTTACATTATTGATCTGACCAGCTATTAACTTCATAAATTAAGGCAGATTTACAGAGAATCCTGGGTGGCTACAAAGTACAAAGTAAAAAGGTTAAACTCACTATTTATTTATACTAATTAAAATATTTGTATATTGTCTTAAGTTACCCTAGATGGTTTACAAAGCAATATATTAGAATGAATCATTAAAAATGAATCATTAAAACAAAGTTAAAAATCTGCAGATTCAAATTAAAACAATAAAAAAACAAATAATATAAAAATGATGTAATTGTCTGCTACAACAGCTGGAGTTGACAAAGATGATCCCCTGATACACAGATAAAGTAAAGCTACAGCTTCCTTTTGATCTCTGCATTCTAGTCCCACCATCCCAAATATAATCATTGAAGTCCAATTCATTCTCTTGACCGCTCAGTCTCTTATCTGTTCAGCTGACGCCTAGTGAAACTAGGATAATTGAATGGAAGGCAATTCTGGCTTTGGAGTTTCTGCATAAAATATATGGTCCTAACTAAGCAAGAGAGTGGGAATGGGTTAAGAACATATTTGGGATATAGACAAAATCCTGCCTATGGCTGTCTTTCTGAGAAGTATAACAATGCTTAGTTAGAATAGAAACAAGGCCAGTCTTCATTGTAGATCATGTCAAACAGATAACAATATTGTGCTTGTTAAAACTCAAAAGGACAGGTGATACGTCAATCCCAGGTCTCCCATGGGATAAAAAGATAAATTTCCCCAGTTTAATTCATGGGACATTCAAGGACTATCATGTACAGAACAAATCTTATATCTTGAAAAAGCTTATTCTACTAGCAAAAGAAAGTTGGATATAACTAAGCATGTAGTCGGTCTTGAGGGAAATATTCATAAGCCATTAAAAAATCAAAAATGGCAGAAGCATTCCTTAAGCCTTGGGAAAGGAGGTAGTGTTAGGAAGAGACCCAGGCTGGCTTCTGCCTGACTCACTAATGGTATAAGAAGGAGGAGAGGAAAAACACAGTCAAAAACACTTGCAAAATACTGTTAATATAGTCTCAATAGAGCTGAGTTCTAGCTGCCTTGTGGAATCTATTTCCTGATCTGGACAACCTTGAAAGGCTGACACATTATCCACACTCTTAGTAAAAAGGCATTGTTGCATTTTAACTGTGTAACCTCCAGGAAAGCTAATAGATTTGAGACCTGACTTACTACAGCAACGTTGTTCTGCATGGTTGCTATAGCATGAATACCAAAGCAAGCTCTGTTTAGTATAACCTCTTCATCTTTTTTTTCTTCGATTTGCACTGCATTTAACGCCCTCTCTCCACCTAGTCTCCATTACACATTTCCTGAGGCTGGAGTTCCTTGGATGGGAATGAAGAAACACATTACACTTTCCTTGCCTGATATAGTTTCTCCACCTTCCTGTCTTCGCATCATGTTTCTACTTTTCTTTAATTTACTATCCCAAAACTGAGATAGGGTTTGCAATTTATGAAAACTCTCAAACACACCCACACCCACACACCCACAACACACACTCCATTCAGAACAAGCAACTTACAAGTGGTGTATCCTTTCCTCCTACAATACTGAGTCCAAGACCTGATCGTCCTTTGGATATTTCTATAGTCATTTCTTGTCCAGGAACAATTGGGCATGTTGCTGGATCTACTGAAGGAGGTGAGAAGTTGTCTACAGCAAAAATAAAAAAAGTATTAGTCCATACAATTGTAAACATGTAAACACATTGCAGAGAAATATGTTGGAGTGTCATAATCAATCTGATTAAAGAAATGTTACTATTGGAAAAATAAAATTTGTTTATGGATAATTGGAATACAGATAGAAGGAAAGGCAATTGAAGTACAACAGGCACATTTTTATAGATTATTTTTGCTGAGGAATGTTGTACGGAAATGATCATTTCCAAAAAGAGGATCCATTGAAGTGAAGGAAAATAATTTCACCTGAGCAGAGACTGTTCCCTTGCAATACATTTTCTTGATTTATCTTCTAGACAATAAGTTCTGCTATCACTATGCCATTAGATGCAGAATAAGCATTTGTCATTTAAGATCCAGTTGGGATTTTACTTTTCACTGCTAACTGGAAATTTCTCCCCTCCCCAAATTAGTTTGTTTATATAAGTCACACATTAAGAGCTGACATTTTTCAGTTCTTAACACTCTCATATATGTTCATATGTAGTATGAGTAAAGAAGGAAGCAGAAAGTCATTTATTAGTAATAATATGTTTATATGCTATTCTTTGTTCTAGCTGAGTTTCAGATCAAATGTATAATGTAAACATACACACTCAGAACAAAGCGTGATCTTTACATTCAGAACATACTGCAGGATACCAAAATTGTGTTGCAGAGCAAAAGCAACAGGATCCTCAAACAATAAAAATAAATACGTAAAAATCTGGAAGCAACTAGCATATTTAGCAGGAAATGTTCCAGCCTGATCTTATTTCTGCTGTTCTTCCTGTGATACTCGAATTGTGGTACTCAGATTGTTTAGACTATTTTATGAAGGATTTCAGCATATCACTATGCTGATATGTTTTTAACTTCGGATCCAAATCCAACTTGAGATAATTTATATTCCATGCAGAATCTCTTTAGACCCTTTCCTACATTGTTCAGAAAGGCCGTAAGTTTTGAGTCAGACAACTACAGATAGAAGGAGGGGCAGGAAACTTTCCATCAACACACAGACACACACCCCATGTCAAGGTGACAAATGTTTTAATAAGCACACAGTAGATAAAAGCCACTGTGGAACAAATGGAACGCATTAAAGGAAACTTCCTTTAAAAAAACCCCTTGCATTTCTATGAAAAGAAAATGTACATGCTTACTGTTGCAGTAATTTAAAGAATGCTTTAAACAGTACTTAAATGTCCTAAGAATTACCTCAGTTAAACTAGATTTTTTAAAAAAATTAAAAATCAATATTACTACCCTAAATTCTGAGGATTAATGCAAAGTACTACTTCAGATGGAAATGACAGGTTCATACTTCGATTGCTGAATTCTGTCTCTGGAGAATAAAGTGATTCAGATGCCAAAGAAATCTCATGTAAATTGATGGGGATGGGGGTCACTGTGGAAGACTTTGTTTGCTTTAACTGGTTTCGAAACTGGGAGAGGCAAAAAGAAAAAGAAAATAAGTATTTGAATTTTAAACCTCTTATATAATTCTAAAAACCAGCTTAAACCACTGTACAGAGATATTTACATGGATCAGGAAAGGAGGGCAAATTGTTCTAGGAGCAAATTATCTGCCTACTTTGGGAACATCAATTTCACATACAGTGATACCTCGGGATACGAACGCCTCTGCTTGCGAATTTTTCGGGTTACGACCAGCTCTGGCCCCAA